TTTAAATATTCAAGTAATTTTTTCGGTAAAGGATTAGGTAAAGGTTGATTACAAAAAAGACATGATAATTCATCTAATAGTATTAAAAAAAGAATTATTAATTATCATTATATTTAAAATTTATAAGTTTTATAAAATAAACATACCTTTTTTTTTATTTTTAGCATTTATATCATCTATTTCCATATTCATTAATTCAGTTACGGATATCTGTGGTAAATTTTAAAATACTTCATATGTTGGACTCAGTATATTAATTTATGGTATTTACTTAAAATCACCGGGGGTGATCATCACCGGTATCACGTGACAATAATATTTATGTGACGTCGCGTGTATGACACGTGATACAATAATAGACAAATAAAAAAAAAAGTGTTACATATTTGCTAGTGTTACATATTTGCTGCTCTTTCGCTCACTTTTCTTTTGCAAATTTAACATAAATTCTTTTTGTATTAATGATAACGGAAAAACCAATTTAAGAAGAAGGAACTTCTTTAGAAAGTTGCTTTGACGTAAATTTCTAAATTTTAAGCCTATTTTTTCCTTGTCCTTTATCTTTAATTTACATCTTTTACCACTATGGATGGTAAATGTAAACTCTCATAAGTCTTGCTGTTTCTTATGACTTTTGTATAGAAGTTTATGATTTATGATTTTTTTTACCGAAGACAATCAAACTTATTTAAGCGAAAAAAAAGAGTCTGCTGCTTTTACAGAAGGTTCTGTTACCTTCGTTGGAAATTTTAGTGGCTCTGTTACCTTTGCTAGAGGTTCTATATTCTTTGCAAAGGATTCTAATGCTACATTTGCTGAAGGTTCAGTTGCTTTTGAGGATGATTCTGATACCAGAGGTTTTATTGTTCTTGTCAAAGAATCTGATACTTCTAGAAAAGAAATTGAAAATAAAGTACAAATTAATGTTGGTGATACTTTTTCTTAATGGGATAAGGTGGACATAAAGCTTAATCTATATGCAAAAATAGCAGGATTTTCTATACGTCAAAAGAGCGTTAAGCTTGATAATGATGGGATAGTTCAACGTCATACATTTGAATGCAGTTTTTCTAGTAAACCAATTTCTAATCAGGTGATTGATATAAATCAACAACGGCAGCGCCCATCCAGAAAATAATGTGCCTATGACATATTAATATTACAAATCTGAAGTCATCATCAGAAATAAGAGTTAATAGCATCATTAGACAATATAATCATCTTATGATACCTGACACATATTTATATGCTCCTAAGTACCATTATCTTTCAGATAATATAATAGAAAGGATTAAATTCTATGTTACCAAAGGAAATATGGATTCAAAACAAATATATTCCTTATTGGTTGCAAGTTTTCTGGATCAATATATTCATAAAAGGGATCTTCACAATGCAATTCAAAGGTTTAAAGCCCCATTTACTAACTGACATGGAGATGCACAAAATATAATCAATATATTACTTAATTTAAAAGATCAAGAATTCGGATAGATCATTCACACAAGAATTGATCCTTTTGATAACTGACTTGTAAGTCTGTTTTGGATGTCGCCTAGTCAGAATCAATGCCTTATACACTATAACGATGTGGTATAAACAAATAATACATGTCAAACTAACTGATTTAACATATATTTAATAATACTAATTATTGTGAATAATAACACTAAAAGTCATCTTGTTGCTCAATGTTTATTAGAAGACGAAACAGTTGAAAGCTATGAATGGTTCCTTAACTATATTTTTTACGCAGTTAATCATATTCTATCTACTTGTTTATATTCGGATTCTAATCCTGCTTTAATAAAGGCAGTGGCATTGAAGATGCCTAATACTTATCACTTTCTTTGTATTTTTCACATACAAGAAAACTTACAAAAAAATTTGACAAGCAAATTAGGACAAGATTACAAATCTTTTTATAAAGATTTTTTACATGCTTGAAATAGTTTATTTGAGGATGATTTTTATTGTCATTGGACACGATTAATCAAAAAGTATCCTTTAGCTTAAGATTATCTTAATAGAACTTTAAATACTTCTTATCAATCATAGGCCAGATGTTATCAATTTAAAGACTTTACAGCTGGCATTCAAAGCACACAAAGGGTTGAAATTATGAATCATTTGATTAAAAAAGGTGCTAATAGTTCATCTTCGCTATGTAACTTATATGATTAAATACAAAGATTATTAGACGATGAAGCAAAATGGGCTTAGCATAATACATATCTTCATAGTCTTCCAACCAACCAAGCACCATCAATTATCAATTCCATATTTTTCAATATTAATAAATTAATGAAACGTTATCTAATTTTGTATATCCTATCAGTTCAACATCAACAAATTGTCAGGTCTTTATTATATCATGCTAAATTGTTTTGAAAGAAGCAATCGATATTGCAAAGGTAAGTTATATTAAAAGCGAAAAAGATGTTGGGGACAGGATTAAAAAATTAGAAGATAGGAAAACTTAACACTTACAAATTTTTCATTAAAATAACGATCAGCACAACTATGGTGATGGATTTCTCAAAGATCAATTAGATAGACCACAAACATCTATTTTTTTCCTATTAGAAAGAATCCAGTTATCTGATATCATAGAAATTTGGAAACTTACCAGTCTTACCAAATTATATAAGCATTATGTTATTTTATTGATAGATGGTGGTCATTTATGCATATATTTGGCTATAATTAATCGCAGATTTGTATGTTCGCATTTTTTTCATGTGATAATGAATTCTAAGGTTGTAAAATTTAACATACATCTTATTGCAAAGTGATGGTATCTAGAAGAAACACAATTCCAATAAGATAGTAATGTAATCATGAATTATTAGTAGCCAATTTACATATTCTTAATCAGCTTAGAGTATCAGATACATTCACAGCTAATATTAAACAACGCGTACAAAAAAAGAAAAATATGCATATGGGTTTGGAAAGATAAAAAAAGCTCTTAATTTGGTGCTAGATTTAGGTTGTGAAACCAAATTTATTGATATGGTTAATAGATTTATCAATTGTAAGAAAAATGATATCGATGATACGAATGATGAAAATAAAGAAAATTTGAGCATGTCTGATCATTTGGTTCAAAAATAGCATGGACATCCCACTATATAAACATATCAAATCAGCATTAGAAAATGCATTCCATAGCATTAAAATTAGTGCTTTTAATCCACCTGATCCTAATTTACAATCTTCATCAAGAATCCCTTTACATATCTATGATGTTAGCAATCATAGACAAGATAATGATCATATGATACTTGATGATATAAGCGAAAATATAAGCAAATGAAAATATATATGCAAAGTTTGTGAGGAATCTGGCCATAATGCTAGAAATAAAGCAAAATGTATCAAACAGGATCAGTAATAATAATATATTGCTTTAAATAAAAATTTGATATATATATATATATTTTTTAATAAAATATATTAAAATACGTAACTTAGTATGATCATGTGACTTAATATAGTTACATAATATCAGTGATAATCATCCCTGGTTATAATTAGTAAAATTCTTAATTTATGATCATCCTTTCGATAATTTGTTATATTTTCTTTTTCCTGTACTGATAAATCACTACCATTAGTAATTGAATTTTTTTGTTTTTTATTTGATAAATTTTTTGTTAAAATTTTTTTTCCTTAATTAAAATTTTAAATTAATAAAATAATATAATATTATAATGTCAATAAACTAAAAAATATCAATTATAATACCTTTTTTTTTAAAATTATTATTTTTTTTAGGATTATTGATTATACTTTATAAAGTATTATTTTTTGTTTAGCAAGCTTGATAAATAATTTTTAATTTATTTTTCAACAAAGTATTATTTGTAAAATAAAATTCTTTGAATAATTTGGATACTTTTTTATCAAACTTTTTATTTCATAAAAAGTTTTTGTAATCAAATATTCATAGTCTTTAATAATTTCTATTTTTGAGAAATCTAAATGATTTGTTATATCATTATCACAAAAAAATTAAATTATTGTATTAAAATAAGATTATTTGGATTTTTTTGTCAGTGTTGATAAAATAGTGAATTTGGCAATTTATTTAAATTCATTTGTATTACTACATAAAATATATACTGACATATAATTCCAGAAAAAGTTGTATGTCTGCATGAACACAAAAACAATTGTTGTTGTTGATTATATTGTACTTTCTTTCAGATTCATAATTATGATTAGATTGATAAATATGAAATAATTGAATATTTTGAGTTCTAAATAATTAAAAATAAAATAAATTAAATAAAATAAATTTTATAAAATAAAAATATATTATAATTAAAATACCTTAAATCAAACAATTTTATACAAGAATAATTAAATGCATATAATAATTACTCCTATATTAACTTTAATGCATAATTTGTTAATATTTTTGCTGCTTGATATTCAAATGAACTTATTATTTTTAAAATAACATTAAATTGATTTTGCCGATATTTAAATAATTGTAAATCAATATCATATTGTTCTAGTGCAGATTTAAAAGCTTTTAAAAATCCAAAAGTGAATTAATTGCATTCATATAATTTTTCATAAGATTATTCATTAATTCTCCATATTGTATTTTTATTATATCTACTAAAAATATATTTCTATTAAAACAAGGCATCCATTTTTCTTTTACTTTATCTATTTTTTTTAAATGTGTTTTACAATCTGAAAAGTCTATTTGAAGTTGTTATTATTTGATTATAAAATTATTAACTTCATATTCTTTTATATATTTATAAAATGCTTTTGTAAAATTATACCAATTGCTTTTAATATACTATATAAATTTTTGATTAAATTTTTCTAAAGATATTATATATATAATACATATTTATTATTTTAACCAAAAAAATTTTGTATAGCTTGAGAAATTGCTTTACCTTTATCTGTAAGTATTACTTTTGGATTATTATTAACTATTTTAAGAAATGATTTAAATGTTGATGTAAAACTATTAATTATTTTTTGATATATTAAAGTTCTAACAAAATATATACTTTGACCAAATTATTTACTTCTGTAAAAATTCCAAATGGCATATTAAATTGATTAACTTTGTATATATTATCAAAAATAATTATATCTAAAAATTTACAATATTGTCATTTTTGTTCTGAATACATTCAAATTACTTAAAGTAATTCATTTGAATTTTTATTAACTTTAATTTCATATTCAAATCCATTAATTTCTCTTTTGAATTACTTTAAAGTATTAATAAATAGACCAGTTTGTAAATTAAATGATGCTCGCATCATAAAAGAATAATTATATCTTTGAGAATGACGATTTCTTTGATGATTTTTTTCTTTTTTTGTTTAGTAACATTTATGCATTATCATAATATAGTTTTTTTAATATTATTATTTTTATCATGTTCTTTTTTATCTTTTTGTATTTAAAAATTATAAAAATTTGCATAATTTTGAACTTATGCTATAAAATTATCATGATTTATAAATATATTTAAAACTGTTAGTTTGAGAATACACATTTCTTCAAATTTCATATGAAAATACAAGTGAAAGTTTATTGTTTGTTATACAATATTAATTTTATTTATAAAGATAATATAAATTATATCTCTTAAACTGTAAAGCAGGCAAATTTACCTGCGAACATAAAAAAAGTATTAATTTTTTAATAAAAAATAAAATATTAA